ATCTAAACCATTCTCGAATCGGCCTGAAGACACACAAAAAATTTCATTTAAATCGATCCAGCCGTTTAGGAGGAGTTCAGTGACATAAACACGTACAGAAGATTTGTTTATATAAAGATAAGCTTTTGATCTAATTTATACTTACTCCTAAGAATATCCAAATGTAAATCACAAAACGATAAAATATTGAAACAGTTTCTATGTTTACATTTTTAATGCAATTGCTTAGGAAGTGCACGGCAAGCTCAACACATAAAGTGTATTTTAATATTGTACATTTCCGTATCTCCATAACAGTTTGAAAATACTTGCGAATAAAGCAACTTCGTGAATTAAAAAACGTCACTTTATTTAAATATCTCTATACATATGACGTATTCATGCGTATGTCTTCGAATCAATGTACAAGTAATTGGTAACCACGATATAATAATTACCTTTAGCAGTTATTGTAAATGTGTCATAGTAGAAATACGAACACCTGGATGTTATCTGTGTATATATTCGTAGTATATTTCGATAATATCAGCGTTTCCGTTGATTTCTATTAAAGATTAATTCTGAAATTATTGATCACTTAATGGCTAGAAGATACTACTAGAGCATATGTATCGCGCATATATATCTATAATAGTGTGAGACAAGGCTAAATTAATAAGTTTCGACAATGAGGCATAGTGTCTACTTATTATACAAATATGACAAGTTGTTGCTTTAATACAAAGTATTGTACAAAATCAGAAACAAACTTCAGTTATTGTCTAATTCTCAATTTTTCAATTTAAAGGTTTAAAATAAATTATTACATTTATCATTATATTTCAAACATTGAAAAGTAATTTCCTCCCATTTTACAAAATAAAATGTAAATAATACAGAGCAAAAGTTGTGAGCCATTTTACGGGGAGGTTTATAAATGAAACATTGCTTGGAAAATAAGCGGAGGGCTCTTATCAAGTAGTTCAAGTGTCTCTGGTTATTTATTTACAGTTCGACCTAAGTTGTCTGTTGGAAATGAAACAAGGTATCGGCTGAATTAAAAAACTAGGAAAGGATTAGTAGGTATAGGAGCACTAGAACTTATTCAATAGGCATTATTTTCATAATGAACTATATATTTTATATAATTATTTGTTTAATTAAAGTAAAATTAAAAAAGAATTAAAATTATTCAGTTATCGTACATATGTCTTTATATACTACCTTTGAGTGGAATCATGTAAATCTTAGTTTCCAAGTCATACTTAAATATAAAACAACATGTTATAAATAAATAAATTAAAATCTTCTTGACATTTTTCTCAGTCCTCATGCGTTTGGCAAAGTATACTAACAACTAAACCAAAGTTCGCAAGTTCTAAAGTCAACACCAAACTGTTCAGTAATTTTAAAGAATATTTGCAATTAGTAACGATAGCCTTGTTTTTGGTAGCCACTTAATGAAAAAAGAAACTAATTTAAATAAGTCACATCAATATGTTTCTTTTACCAGTACCGTGTATTGGAAAAGAAGAAACTTATTAATAAATACAAGTATCCTTTATTTCTCTCATAACAGCTACGCGTAAATATACTGCGGTAGAGTTATGCGACAGAATTTGCATTTGTGAAAATGGGCTAACTCATCCAGACCCACAAATACTTTATGGTTTCCAAAACAACTAGAACTACAAAACCTTTTTTCGTGTGCGGTGGCAATTATATAAGAAAACTGTACTATAAAGAGTACAGCTAGTTTTTAAGTATTTTACTGTATTAAGTACTTGGGAAGCCTCACCGGGAACGAAAATACCGTGTATAGGATACCGGCTCAAATAGCCAATAGCAGATGGTGATTGTGGAAATGGAGTGATTTGTGGCGTTCACGAGACAAAAAATAAAGAGTTATTATGTATAACTAATTGGCAGAAGTAATTAGTTGAAAATATTACATTTCTAACAAGATCAGGCTGTCAATTATGATAACTTTACTTACGAATTTATGGGGCTGCAACCTTATATGTGACTTGGGCTGAAATAACCTTCGTTACAAAAATTATTTTAAACGATAACTTTCAGTAGGTATGAAAGACGTCTACGGAGAAAGCTCTAATTATAAATGCATTACACGTTTATAACGTGGAGCACATCGTTACGATTGGCAGTACACAATTTGGGGCTTATGGCCGGACAGTGGACCTATCTTCGCGCCAAAGGGTGCGGGTTCGATCCACACTTCAGGAAAATAATGTGTGATTAACGTAGTGTTGATTAGTGTCTGGTTGTTTATATATCTGTTATATGTATATATTTACTAAAGAAAAGTACTTTTTAGTATGTTTACCCGTTACCTGGTACCCAAAGCACAAGGTTTGCTTAGTTTGGGACTAGTTATCGTTGTGTAAAAATATAACGACCATAGTAGTCGGTAGTAGGTTATTTCCTTGAGAAAAGAATTTTTTCTTTAAGAAGAATTTTTTTTATGTGAAAAGTTGCCAAGCGAACAGACGGTTCACCTGATGTTAAGTGAATACCGCCGCCCATGGACATCTGCTACACCCAAAGGTTTGTAGATGCGTTGACAACCTTTTTGAAAATTGGGCTCCGGCCACCTCACTAACCATACGAAACGCGAAAGTATTATACTTTCACTTTACGCCGGTCTTCTGTGAGGTCGTGGTGCTTACCCGGACGAGCCCGCCCATTCGTGCAACAGCCGAGGCTGCTGCGTGGCCCTACCACCGTATAATGGCCTATGTATCACCATATTGTGTGGAACCAAGATTCGTTTTACATTTTCTTCACTTAACTTTAAGATAAGTAGCCTTGTCGGGGATAACATAGCCAGCAATTGCATTTTACACTGTATGGACCGTAAGCGCGCCAGAACGTGACATAACTCTGACCACAATTGTGTAAGTGTAAATTTTGCTCATATAAATAAGGAGCTTATTTATCCAAATCGGATTTGAGCCCTCAGCTATCACCGAATCGAAGACCTTGTTATATAACATCAATTGAAAGAAATTTAAAATTATTGCGTAATATACACATTTAATCACTTCAATAATCCCAAACATAGTGTAAGCTGTTCAGAGCACATTTCATTAGAAGTTAGGTAACTTAAAGCTCCGAAAGTAACAGTTGCAAAGAAGGATAAAAGTATTAGACGAAACTTCAGCCTTTGAGGAAACTTAAGCGCAGAGAACTTCATCAACGTATGAGAAGGATAGAAATAAAAATTAATGTACTAATTCAGTAGCACATGCTATTTATATTGCTCTTACAAGCTACAGCAGTAGTATTTTATATATCAATATTTGAATTGAATGAATGAATAAATGAATGTACTACTTCAATTGATACAGAACGCGGGAAATCAATGATATCTAATTCCTCATTCAACTAATTTATCCTTATACATTCAAGGAAAAAAAACTTTGTACAAACATAACTTTTTACGAGTTGTCAATGTAAGTGAAGAAGGGTTAAAAATTGTATTTTTTTAATAAATTACTATATATGTGATCTTAATTAAACAAATCTCCAAAATCTTAAGTACTTATAATGAACTAAAAAAAAGCACAATGACAAATATAAAAACCAACCCAGATAAAATACCTAGTGATTAATATCCATCTTTAATTATATTGAAGTCACATTTGTTCGAGCAATAGCTAGCCCATTAGAGTTGAAAAAAAAAAACATGCTTTGCATTACGAAAATTGAGGTGAAAATAAAATAAACAAGAAGGGCTTATTTTATTTAAAATCGATATTTAATGCCAGCAAATAAATATTTGCAAGTAATGTGTTTTATTTATTCTAAAAATTTAATACATCCCTACCAAAATATTTAAATTTATAAATATATGATAAAGACAAAACTCGTCACCTTATTTAACACCGTTTGATTTCCAATCAGCGATAAGGATTGTCAATCGGAATATTTATACAGCAATTACCAAATCAGTCCTAGTTTTGTAAAAAGATAACATGTTTTTAGCATTGAATAGATTGTTTACAATGTTTATGCGTAAAATAATATAATGGATAACTAAAATTAAACTTTACATTTATATATTCATTAAACTATTTGTCAACGACAAAGTTTCTAACTATTTTTGACGTTCGCACCTTAAATTAGGTAATGCGTTATAAGTTACTGAAGTATTTAATGAAGCCATTCGTCTTGTTACTTATTTCAAGTTATAATTTATGGATAAACTTAAACTTTCTGACTTTTTGGAAACTTTTTCTTATAAATCTTATAATCTTTAAAGTAATATCGCAATTAATTTAGTATACTTGTAGGACACACGGACAATATTGTAAAGTAGATTTTTTTTTAAATTTAATTTAAGCCATAATACATGTACAAGAATATGATAACTATACGAAACTGATAATACAGAGAGCATTATAACTATTGTGTCAAGACGTGAAAAGACAAGATGGTTTCTATAATAAGTACTATAAAAGAAATTTACTAACTGGCATTATTCAACTTAAAATTAACATTACATCTGTAAGAAATTAAAGTTCTGATATGGTTCAAATGAATAATGTAGAAAAATGGATGACAAGTTTTTTCGTCGGTGTGAAGACATGCCTATTAGGTTCAAATCAACGCAACTGTAAAAAACTATTTCATCCATTTTCTAACAGATTTTAAATTTCATCCTAAGTGTAGGCATTACTAAAATTTATATAACTTTAAGGTAACAAGTGAATAATTCGACATAAAAAGACAAATATAAAAGATTATCTTAAAAATAAATTAAAACATCAAAAATATTAAAAAACTGCTTCAGACAAGCAATAGAAGTAAACGATTTCTTCTAGGAAGTTTAAATTTGAGTGTTGAGAAGGTTTGCGAATTTCATTTATAATTTGTGGAGAGATTGAAAAGTTATAAAAATTACGAAAATTAGAAGATTGTATTGCTTCATTTCAAAAGTTTCGTTCCTGAAGTTTCATTAAACACTTTTTTTACTTATTTTGTATGATGACATGTTTTTAATATGGATATCTGGCCAGAGTGTTCAGACGATATAGACCGTTCCTGAAACAAAAGTAAAATTTTATATAAGCAAGAAATGAATGATTATTTCCAGTGAAAATGTACATGATAAAAAAGTATGTATGTTAGTACTTATATACGCACGTTAGAAGTTATACTTATTTTGGGTGAATATATTAAACGCAATTGATAACGGTTTTTTAAATAACTATAATAATGTAAAAGTTTGTAATTGATTACCAAGCATCATGTCGCTTTTTGAGGGTCAGTGTGCGAATCTTATAAATTTCACTCATAATTTTTCCAAACACACCAAAAGAATTATAAAATTAGGAAAAAAGGAAATAATAATTAATTATATATTGCATCATATTGTTAATTGTTTTCCCTAGCCACGCAATATTTCACTATAGGTGAGCTCAGTATTCCGCTAGTTTTATTAGTTCAGCTTAACTCACCCGGATTTTTTTAAGTCTGCATTGCCCATGTTAAATTGCTTGCCTCGGCAGTTGTTGGCCGCTACGTCATTGGATGATGAGCATTCGGTCCCGACCAGGTGGTTGTGTTCGACTGTGGCAGCGAAGAGTTCCCATGAACGGTTGTGGTTGCAAATGCTCGTGATGCAACCTGGTTGCGAGTTACCACCATTTGGGTAGAAGTCAGCGTCTCCCATAGGACTGGTGACACCGTTGCCGGCACCATTGGTGTGGATAACTTCGACGTATACACCATCGGCGTTACTCAGGCGGTTGCTATTGAACTGCCAAATGGGACTAAACGGATCTAGGCCTGAAATGTTTTTACGTGATGTCATTATTCAAAAAAAATTCTCATTGTTAGAAATCATATGCTCTTCCTTAAAAACACGAAGAAGCGTAATTAATTAGTGTACATTCCCTGGATTCAACTGTTAGTCGGCGCTCTAAGTCAGTAGTAAGTCGTGCAGTCGTACACAAAGTTATAGTCAAGCGTATAATTACATTATTTTGTTGCACATTGAAAATATCCTTCAAAAGGGTGTTTGCTATTCAAACTAATATTCAGATTATACGACTGTATGTGGACAATAATTAAAATTATATTTTTGTGTACTTAATATAAAATTGTACCTGTAACGCGTCCAACTCGACCATCTAGCTCTCGTCCAGCATTTCCTACGACATGGGAGCCCAAACTAAACCCAACTAGTGCATGGCTTGTAACGGTGCACCGGTAGTCCTACTCACAAAAGCCAGAAAACGCCCCAAAGTTTGTCCAACATTCGGTATTCCAGCAATTGCAGCCAAGTAACTGCCCATTGCAATGCGGCTCCAATCCAAAACGATAACATTAAAGTTACCGTTTTTAAGGAAGGCTGAAAAAAAAAAAGTTTTTTATAAAGTGTAATAATATCAAGAAAACCGACTCAGTATTCGTTTGACATACGATATTATGATATTGAATCTGTTGTTGTCGCCCGAGATATGACAGACTGATCTCCAAGGATTTACAAGTATCTTCACGTGCGACTGAGAAATAACAAAAAAAAAAATAATAAAACGTGAGATTAACTGATAAATTTTTAAAATTCTTATACGAGGTCCAGTCACAAATTTCTGAAATGAGTAACTTCTGCACAACTGGCTTTTATAATTTTCATTTAAAAATATAACGCTTCGTAAAAATTACCGTTTCTTATAACCACATTGAGATTTGTATTCGCGTTTCCTAAATAGCCATGGGCGACGACGACGGTTGGGTCGCTGGGATTATAATTTGATGAAGTTATCGATTCAACATCATCCGCTACCAGTAGTTGTGAAATAGTAGGATTCTTCCTAAAAATTCAAATATGTATTAATAAATTAAACTATATTTACAAGTTAATCGCCTTTATTATGAAATTTTATTTCCCACCGTTTAGAACCCTTTTCAGCGTTCATGCAAAACGCGATAAATCCGTAAATATAGTTTAATTTCATAATGCGTAAACGCGTAAATACAAGAAATTCGATAAGTAAATACAACGGAGATTTTTCAAGTTGTAAAATCTTTACATATTATTTTATGCGAGAAGGTGGTAATTGAGGAGGGGTTTCCCTGATTTAAGAAGCTACTCTTATAACTTCCGATGTCATTTCAAGCTGTTCTCTAGGGCCTTGGTTTTTACCTACCTCTCCATTCCTTCCACAGCAAAAGCTGTAGTCCGATGCTCCACAGTCAAAGATAAGTTAATTGCTAAGTATTCTATGATCTATTTTTTATTTCATTAAAATTGAAAGTGAACTTTAAATCTGCATACATCATAAACGTAAATTAAAAAAATAAAAGAGAGCTTATAAAACATTTTATGGAATTAAATATTTTATTAAATAGTAAAAATCATTTGAATTTTAATAAGTAAAAATCAGCGTATCGTAAAAGGCAAACATATTCTTATTGGGAGTTAAACGATCTAAAAAAAGGTTAGAGATGATTTGGCGCTAAGTCGAGATTGGTTAAATATTTATTCAAGGTCATAAAACTATTGATTATAAATCATATGATTAATTAAAATATTATTATAACTTTTTTAAAATCATATTTGTTGAACATTCCTTAATTTTTTTTTATTTATTAAAAAGGTATGAAGATATATGAAGGTATTCCTGTCATATATAAAGCTTAGAAAATATCTCGAATATTAGTTTAAAATTATTCTGCTAGCTATAGATTTTATTGGCATTTTATAACATCAAATACATTATGAGGAAACTTACCTGGTAAAAAGCAAGTAGCGGTTCCCAGGATCCCACCGGATATTATTCAATAAGCTAACATCAACCAGTTCGTCCATATTAACTTTGTGCCATTCACCGATATCTCCTATAACATTGATGAAGGTTTCTTTCGCTTCATTGATTGGCACTGGTACTGCCAGTGAGGCACAAACTGTAATGCAAATGGTATTCGTATTGTGTTAAACATTTTTCTCTACGAGCAGCTTCCCATCGCAGTTGTGCTGAGTAACACCGATGCTGCATGGAACTTGAAACCTCGCAAAATTTAATGTGTCAAAATGGGTAACACTAGTTTATCAAAATGTATTTAACTTAACAAACTGAATTTGATCCATGGATGTTGTTTTAGTTGGAAGTGTTACAGCTTTCAATAGCTGTCATTCAACTAGAGCGTTAATCAATAAGCGTTTCTTTGCCAATATTTTTGTATAATTGTAAAAATATAAAATAGCAATTTAATATTCGAATATACAAACCTAAACAGGCAACGATAATTATACGTATCATATTTGTCGCAAACTAGGAACTTAGTTGGTCATTGCTGATTAACAAATATTTATATAGTGCGATAAGAAATCAATGATCACGTATATTGATTATATAGGCTTTAAGTTATAATTGAGATGTAATGTAAAACTATTTTTTGTAAGACAGTTTTTTTAATATTTAAATTATTTAGTTGACTGTATTTCCACATATTGTGTATGTTAAAGTCACACAACGCAGACGGTGTAAAAGCAATGCTAAAGTTGTCTATTGTTTATATTATGTAGAATCTTCAATCTCTCATTTTAGCTTTCGACAAGAAAAAAAAAATTATTGATGGCCATTTATTGGAAAGCCAAAACATCACGGAAGTTACAAATGTGTTCTAAATCGTATTAGAATATCGTTATTTGATTAGCTCACTAAACAGTCTGTAAAGAAGTATGTTGCTCCGGTATTTTATGAGGTCGTGGGACTTCCCAGCTTTTTTATTTTTAAACTATTGTAATGTAGCTTGTCAGCGTGATGAATATTGGCAGCGTAAATTTAAAATTATACTGCTTCAAAAAAAAAGAATTTCTTGATACGAACGATGGTTTTTCACTATTGTCATCGGCCCTGTCATATAGACCCTTCACAATTTTTAACAGACTTCAAAAAGGAGAAGGTTATCAATTCCGATGTTTGTATGTCTTTATTGTGTATGTTCGGCCATAAATCGGTCATATAGAGACGGATTTGTAAAATTCTTGTTTTTGTTCGAAAGGGGCTTACACCGAAATGGTCCCATTTAAATTTAATATAGTTCCATAATGATGAGTTTCGGAGTGGCTATGGCATAAAATGCATTGTTTTGAGCAATCACAAAATGTAACATTGAGTCTGTAAACTCGAAAAGGCTAAGCAGATGTATTCAGTATAGCTGAGAACGCGAAAACAGCGCATTTACATAATTAATAGTCTGGTTGCGCGTTCTCAACTATCATGTGTGCATTACAAGCATCTACTTGTCTGACATTGGGATAAATTAGAACTGCAACTTCATCGGCAAAATCTCCTATTAACCGTATTCCTTGACATTCCGCAAAGCAATTCTAGTGGATCCGCTGTCAATTCGTCAACGCTATTGCGCTATCTTTTGCGCTGTCGTTCTAGTTGATTCGTCAACGCGATTGATAATCTTTTTTGAATTAAATTAGGTATATCCAAACGAGTACGAATTAAACTAAGACGATTACTGTAATCTTGATTTTCGTCATTTAACCTACGTAACACATATATTCTTTTTAACAATTTATTTCCCCGCTGGTCAGGCCTCTTATTTAAAATGCTTAGAGATTTTCTATTCTTAATTGCTTTTAATCATTTTTCTTCTTCACTCTCGGTTTCAGTTTGATGCTGTTTTTCTCATACGACCAACGTCTTTGCTAGGTCAAGTTTAATAATACTATTCAAATTAAAAAAAGTATTCAAATTAAATCACTTACACACAAAATAAAAAAATGAAAAGTTTCTTAGTCCTAAAAACTCTCAGCACTAAAAAGTTTAAAATAATACTAATTATAATATAATCAAATCTGGAAAATCGATATATAACTTGACCTACCTAATCTAACCTAACAAAATTTAACCTTTTTTGGAGTCGGTGCCTTTGATAATGGTTACCCTGCTAAAAAAAGTGAAAGAGGCTAAGCAATAATGAATACTGCGGTTATCTAATAAATAGGTCTATAATATCTAATAAATACCCAACCATGGTGAACATTGATAGGATTGATAAATAGTATTAGGAAATGTTGTAAATATAATTTGATATTTTGTTTAATACTATATATACAGTTGTTTCTTTTTTTTTTATGCGAAAAGTTGCCAAACGAGCAGACGGGTCACCTAATGTTAAGTGAATACCACCGCTCATGGACATCTGCTACACCCGAGGGTTCCAGATGCGTTGACAACCTTTTGAAAATTGGGCTCCGGCTACCTCACTCACCAGACGAAACGCGAAAGTATTTGTCACACTTCCACTTTACGCCAGTCTACTGTGAGGTCGTGGTACTTACCCAGATGGGCCTGCCCGTTCGTGCAACAGCCGAGGCTGCTGCGTGGTCCTACCACCGTTTCATTAATATTGGAAACCCGTTTAAAACTTTTTCGTTTAATGAATAACCAATAAGTTGAGAAGAAACAAAATATTTTATATACTCAGATTTTTAGGCACAAAATATGATTTCATTTGTTTCATTATTTTATCTTATCAATAGCATCCGCTCGTATATACAAAATTATTTGAAGATTACAATGACGTAGCTGACTTTGATATTGCTTTATACGCTTTGATTGATTGTGCTATAAGCATAATAGATGCTTAGGTTTGATTCATCATTGATATACTTATCATAATCGACTAATATATTGTGTTATTACATTTTAAGTCTCTGTTAGTATAATTGCTATGCAGTTATGTATAAAATTCACAACGATGCGCGGGTTGGTCAAAAACTCAATAAACATGCGAATGATAATTAACACCGGTAAATATTAACATGGGTGTTTTGAATTTTAAAGTTTTTTATAGTGCTAATCTCTGCACCTAAGATTGAACATTAAAACATGTAGAAAAAGTACGAAAATATTGTCGCCGCTGTGGGAATCGAACCCACGTCTTCGGCATTCGCGGCCTGACGCTCTAGCCACTGAGCTAAACGGCTGATAGCCACAGCGACGAAAATCTTAACGCCTTCTTTCTACATTGTTATTTAGCATTTGAAGCAATGCTTGGCGAATCTATTGTTATATCCTTTCCAGCATACAAACAATTTCGAATATCGTTTTACAACGATAATTCGAACGAGAGATGTCGCCATTGCTTTTTATAAATTTTAAAGTTTTTTATAGTGCTAATCTCTGCACCTAAGATTGAACATTAAAACATGTAGAAAAAGTACGAAAAGATTGTCGCCGCTGTGGGAATCGAACCCACGTCTTCGGCATTCGCGGCCTGACGCTCTAGCCACTGAGCTAAACGGCTGATAGCCACAGCGACGAAAACCTTAACGCCTTCTTTCTACATTGTTATTTAGCATTTGAAGCAATGCTTGGCGAATCTATTGTTATATCCTTTCCAGCATACAAACAATTTCGAATATCGTTTTACAACGATAATTCGAACGAGAGATGTCGCCATTGCTTTTTATAAATTTTAAAGTTTTTTATAGTGCTAATCTCTAGAGATTAATTTTAAAGTTTTTTATAGTGCTAATCTCTAGAGATTAGCACTATAAAAAACATATTCGAAATTGTTTGTATGCTGGAAAGGATATAACAATAGATTCGCCAAGCATTGCTTCAAATGCTAAATAACAATGTAGAAAGAAGGCGTTAAGATTTTCGTCGCTGTGGCTATCAGCCGTTTAGCTCAGTGGCTAGAGCGTCAGGCCGCGAATGCCGAAGACGTGGGTTCGATTCCCACAGCGGCGACAATCTTTTCGTACTTTTTCTACATGTTTTAATGTTCAATCTTAGGTGCAGAGATTAGCACTATAAAAAAACTTTAAAATTTATAAAAAGCAATGGCGACATCTCTCGTTCGAATTATCGTTGTAAAACGATATTCGAAATTGTTTGTATGCTGGAAAGGATATAACAATAGATTCGCCAAGCATTGCTTCAAATGCTAAATAACAATGTAGAAAGAAGGCGTTAAGATTTTCGTCGCTGTGGCTATCAGCCGTTTAGCTCAGTGGCTAGAGCGTCAGGCCGCGAATGCCGAAGACGTGGGTTCGATTCCCACAGCGGCGACAATCTTTTCGTACTTTTTCTACATGTTTTAATGTTCAATCTTAGGTGCAGAGATTAGCACTATAAAAAACTTTAAAATTTATAAAAAGCAATGGCGACATCTCTCGTTCGAATTATCGTTGTAAAACGATATTCGAAATTGTTTGTATGCTGGAAAGGATATAACAATAGATTCGCCAAGCATTGCTTCAAATGCTAAAAAACAATGTAGAAAGAAGGCGTTAAGATTTTCGTCGCTGTGGCTATCAGCCGTTTAGCTCAGTGGCTAGAGCGTCAGGCCGCGAATGCCGAAGACGTGGGTTCGATTCCCACAGCGGCGACAATATTTTCGTACTTTTTCTACATGTTTTAATGTTCAATCTTAGGTGCAGAGATTAGCACTATAAAAAACTTTAAAATTAATCTCTAGAGATTAGCACTATAAAAAACTTTAAAATTAATCTCTAGAGATTAGCACTATAAAAAACTTTAAAATTTATAAAAATCAGTGGCGACATCTCTCGTTCGAATTATCGTTGTAAAACGATATTCGAAATTGTTTGTATGCTGGAAAGGATATAACAATAGATTCGCCAAGCATTGCTTCAAATGCTAAATAACAATGTAGAAAGAAGGCGTTAAGATTTTCGTCGCTGTGGCTATCAGCCGTTTAGCTCAGTGGCTAGAGCGTCAGGCCGCGAATGCCGAAGACGTGGGTTCGATTCCCACAGCGGCGACAATCTTTTCGTACTTTTTCTACATGTTTTAATGGGTGTTTTATTTAAAAAAAATTAATTGTCTAAGGCAAGAGGTAAATATAAAATTAAAAAAAATATTAATTGGACTGTTTTAAGCTCTTGTAAACGTCAGCAACTAAATATAGGTATAATTGTTTTATTTCACTATCATCATCATCATCATCATCATTTCAGCCTGTTGAAACCACTGCTGAACATAGGTCTTCCCCACAGACTGCCACGAAGTATGATCCTGGGCCACCTGCATCCTTAGACTTCCCGCACATTTGCACAGGTCGTCACTCCATCTAGTGGGGGGTCGTTCCTCACTACGATGGCCAATACGAACCGCCACTCGAGAACCTTTCTTCCCCATCGTCTATCGGTTCTACGAGCTATATGGCCGGCCCATCGCCACTATTTTACTATATTTACAATTTATTAACAGAATCCAACAGACAACACATACGCTCTTCCGTAAGAACACACTAAGAACAAGTCAACCGAATAAAACTTTACGCTCCGTCCACATTTAACTTTTTCTCGTCCCAGATTAAATCTTAAATCGAATGCGTGTCCTCGTTTGTGTGTGTTTAATACGTATGGAAGTTTTACCTGTAGCACATGTCCACTTTTCCTTGCGTCTTGTAGTCAAAAACGTGAACGACAATTTTTATACCTACGAAAACTATCCTTTATTTTTTCGTGCGAGTATGTACATGAAAATGTCTTGATCTTTGCTATGTTGATATTTTTCACAAATTTTCTTCAAATACTGACTTTCTTTGTGAATTAATGTTGTGTGAATGTAAGGATTTAATTGATTTCAACAAATTTTTTAACTGTATTATCACGATTGGTTTTAGTTTTTTCTTTTTTTTTTCTCCTTGATTTTGGTTCAATGGCTGTTGCCATTAGCTGTCCCCGCTTGCTAATTAAACGAATATTTCTTGTTTCCCTATTTACAACTCCGCTTTAATGCTAAAATTTTTGTCCGCTTCAGCTCGTAATGAACGTCAGAAATTTATTCATAGTTTCCTTCGAAGCCGCAAATAAAACGAGATGCAATATTCCCTAGTCTTTCATAGCAACTGCTGTAGGGGAAGGTATTATAATTTTTGATTTGATTATAAATAACTTAATGACTCCGTGGCGCAGTTGCTAAGGTATTGGCTTCAGCGTCGGGGGTCGTGGGTTCGATTCCCACACGGGACAACTATTTGTGTGACCCACAGGTAGTTGTTTCGCATCTGGGTGTTTGTCCGCGTGAAATTTATGTTTGTAAAACGTCCCTACAGCACAGGATAATGTTATCCTAAAGTAAGGGCAATGTTTTGAAAAAAAAAAGAGAAAAAACATATTTTAGAAAAGCTATACCTATTGTAACAACATAAGACACGCAAATATGTTTAGCACCTACAAAGGGAAAATAATTTCATAGTAACTATAGCTATGAAAATGTTTTTAATAATCAATTGTTTCTACACAACTTCGAACGATTTTTTTTTATCATTCAGTAGCTTACGTTTTTATTTTCAACTTTGGCCCCATTGCTGTTTGACGGTGAACAGAAACGGAACCTAAAATTGGTCCAGGTGCTTGACGGTGCGGTTGGGAGATCACATAGTCGACCAGTGATGGGCGAGTTCGCAGGAGTTCCCCCAAATGAAGACGAGTCTGACTAACCTGCACATATGTAAAATTATCATTTGGCCCATACAAGTATTTAATATCACTATCAACCAAAGCGTGCTCCAGGGTCACAGCCTAGATTCATTCTAGAATACAGCGGGAACGCATCTTGGAGTTTTCGGCTTTCAGCCTTTGTACGGCGGTATAGTTACGAACGTGATAGTAGCATCTTTCCGTTGTTTTCTCTTCCCGCGTCTGTGCTTGTATCGCACCGCACACCAAACAATAAGATACAATCTAGACATGTGACACAGCAGTCGCATGCTTCGCTCTACATCCAAAATGCACTGTTCTCAGACGTGTCGAGCTATGAGAGGACGGCTCATTCCTGCTAGTTTACCGTCAGCAGGAACCGTGCCTAGTCCGGATTGATTCGGCACAATTTCACCCATTACACCTCAACAATGTTTGTTCCCCATTCAATAATCTGAGCAACAGTCTAAAGATCCTCCGCATTTTCAAGGGAGGCTTTTTTTTTTCCCGTTTTACCTGTGCATTTCTCCGGTCTCCGACTTTTTAGTGACCAGCTGACGCAACTCTTCGTCTTTTGGCTTTGTACCTACTGTTGACTCCGGTACCCCCAGACCCTTGGCCCCTGTTAACACTTTATTATTATTACTCCAAGATGATCCAGATATTCTTATGGAGAATAGGGGCATACGAGCAGGAGGCTCACGTGATGGTAAGTGATTACCGCCACCCATGAACAACGGATAGATCGTTCTTTACTTTTGGCTTTCATAGATGACCACTCTTACTGCTGCGTTTATAAATTTAGCCGAAGGGCGAATAGGCTACAGCTTTGGCATCTTTTGTGCGAATTCAATTTATGCGTGAGACGTGAATACTGTTACCTGTTTACCAAAATTTAACAATGTTTGTCTGACATTCAATTTTGTGTCCAGTACAAGATGATAAGCTCACCACCTGACAAGTCCAGACACTACGACAATAAGTTTTGTTATAAGTTATTTAGCATGTTAGCATTAGCTATAGTAACCTTATAAGATCATTTATTTATTCAAAATCGTTTTGCATCTATTTGACTCTTTTTCATGTTTTGTATTCTTTTACTTTAAATATGAACGTAAGCTAATAGTCACTTACCAATATTGAATTATAAATTCGCATACGAAGAATCTGTAATAAATATATCGAATTATGCAAAGAGATTCTATTGTGCTGACGATATAAACTTGAATCGAGAACTCACTTAAAAGTACCTTACCGTCGCCATTCTTATGGTCGATGGCTTTTCAACTTGAAATGCATCTCATATTTTACGGAGCTCAGTTGAATTTTTCCAACCCGTAATTTTTGTATTAAGTCACATTTTTTTTTAATCTTATAACATTTCCTTAGGTATATATTAGTAATATTGGGCCTGTTATCATGATCTCATTATATTAATCAAATAACAACTGATTAGTAAATCTAAGTCTTGACTTAGATTATGTAAATATCAAGAAATCAAGATTTCCCATAACATATTTTGATATATTTTTTAGATATATCGTCATAACAATTCTGACACTTGAACACGGACATGTTGGTTTATATTCATGTAAATAAGGTCACAAAAACCGGCCAAGTGCGAGTCGAACTCGCGCACAAAGAGTTCCGTACCGTTATCTAAAATAAACTAATTATTAAGTAACCTATAGGTTGGCTAGCAACCGTTGCCTATCTACCGCCTTGCGTTTTTTGTGTGGGAGCCCCTTAGTATTTTTTAATTTTATTCCGTTTTTAACAATTTTTTTATAGCGGCCACAGAAATACATCATCTGTGAAAATTTTCAACTGTCTAACTATCACGATCCATGACATACAGACTGTTAACAGACGGACAGACAGACAGACAGAAAGCGGAGCACTAGTAAAATAGGGTCCCGCCCTTATTTTACCCATCGGCATACTTTACATAAAAGTAAAGTAGAGTAACAGCCTATACAAGTCCCACTGCTGGGCAAAGGCCTCCTCTATACAGAGGGTATCAGGGCATAGTCCACCACGCGGCCCCACTGCGGATTGGCGGACTTCACATATTTTCGAAATATATATATATTTTTTTGTTATTATTTCGAAAATATGCAGGTTTCCTCACGATGTTTTCCTTCACCGCGTAGCACGTGATAAGTCACCACTTAAAGTTAAAAACTTCATTGGTGCCGGCACCGGGGATCGAACTCAGGTTGCTCGAGTATATTAATTTATTCTGAAGCAACCACAAATAAGGATACCAATTTGAAAAAAATCAGGAACTATTTTCTAATTTTAAATTATTTGACAACCTGGATAATTAAAATGAAACACGAGAGCAAAAGTTTATCACATGCATGTTTAGGGCATGTTTCCTATCCCCGTAAACAACTTTCAAATGTACAGTACATACCCCTGTGATACTGAAGAAAATAAACATAAACATTTTTCACCTTTACATAATATGGCTATTTTTATTATTATCGTATTACAAACAATTATTCCTATTTGAATTATTTAATTGTTTTAAAATTCCAGTTTATCTTTAACTAAGGTGCGTGATATTTATTTAAGAAAATGTCAATTCGCCTATTGTGTTATTATTTCCGTATACGGTAGACCAAAAAACACCTGAAAGCAGGAATTAAATGCTAAAACCACAGCCCGCCAAATCACTGTCCATTGTATTATTAATTGTCGCTATAATGCAATGTGCGTTTTTTTAATTGTCTAATGTCTTTCTGTGTCTTGTTTTTTTTATATATTTAATTTATTCTATGTATCTATTTTTTAATTACTTCTTGTCTGCGTAACAACATGTTTAAATTTTAAGTGGAAACTACTTTTGGCAAATGTAAGTAAAGCCTTTCATTACACTAATTGTTTGGGAGGCTTTAAATAGTCTAGTTTGGAAGCGAGACGATTCAAGATGATTGAAGATGAGTCTTGACAACCAAACATAGACGCGGATAAAAAGGGATATCGGTGTATAGTTCTTTATGAGAGTTCTGTATGTACTTTACTCGAAGAACAGCAATCCGGCTTTCAGAAGCTCGGCTGTAATTCCGTCCTCTCTTACTGCTTTGCCATTCTTAAGCTGGTCGAGATATAACAATAAGAAATAAAAACAGAACAGTCCTTATTGTTTTCTTTAAATTTATTACTTCACCACATTACAATAAACTAATTCTATATTAAAATAAGAAAAGATCAGAACAAATGAAATATTCTGAATTCTGAATCACGAATGAATTAAGAATACACTTCGTCTACTTTTAAAGAATTCGAGGCGAAAGAAATATTTATTTATTCATTTGCCCTAAATTATGTTCATTATAATGCAGAGTATTGCAATAAACCAGTTCGAGTTAAACCCGAAAGTCAATAGATTAAGTTAGTGTTTAAGGTCACAGCGAAGTTCGGGCCAAGTACGTCATACAACTTCGCCGCAATGTTTGCACCGAACGTTATATGCGGTGTTATTGTGCTCTCACAGCTTCGATATTAATCTCAGAGTGATCGTTCTATTTTAGAAATACACAGGAGATTTTGTGCGCGATCCATATTCTCTTTATAACTTAGCTAAAATTTACAAATAATGTATATACTCTTTGTATATATTTCTATGCTTTATGGTTTCGACAAGCCAGAAACTTAAATTTCAATTCCTGAAGTTTCAAAAAGTTTACAATTTCTGTTACCTTTTCGGTTCTTTTCAAAACAGTGAAACCTGAGTTGAAACTCCTTCAACTCTGAACTCCTTGTCACTCTGAACACATTGACATCCTTGGGGCCAGTTTGAGGGCTACATTTAACGATTGGTCTGATTGGTTATATTATAAGGACCTTAATAAACCTTTTTATGATTATTTTAAAATTAGATGTTATTTTCTTCCCACTGTACACACGTTTACATATATGAATTATTTTTTATGCATGTTTATGTAGTAGTTGGCACTTGTTATTTGTCAATACCTTTAAACGAGAAATTCTTGTACGGCTTAACGGCTTAACGCCTCCAGCGATTTTCATGAAATTTAGTACGTGCGTAGATTTGGGGGCGAAAAATCGATCTAGCTAAGTTTCATATTTAGAAAATGTCCTTTTATCCCCGTTTTCAGGGAATGAGAAATATCATTCGAAAATAACGGTAACTTTCACCGAAAAAAAAATTATAATAGCTCGGTCGGTAATCGGGCGGCTCCGAAACAGAAGGCCGCGGTTCGTGTCACGATCATTTACACACTTATTTTTTTTTTTACTTTTTGTTCTATACCAGATCATTGCTGTCTTTATTTTTTTTATTTCCAAAATACACGATTTACCAAAAAAACCGAGCAAAGCTCGGTCCTCCAGGTACTGTTCATTTATTTAATACAAATATTGTACATATATATTTTTTAATTATACTATAATGTGTACCTCACTCGGTAGATGAAACGCAGGAGTGTAACGCGTCCACTTCTCGCCGGTCTTCTGTGAACTCGTGGTACTTCCCCGGATGGAGCTGCCCATTCGCGTAACAGTGTACACTGTTGCGTGGACCCACCACTGTAAAGTTACTACCACAATATTATTAATATTATGTACGGATTATCATAAATTAAAACACTAAACATTAAAGTGCTGTTAGACACAGGCAAATTCCTCAGTCCCGGATCCAACAAAAATTTACGTGCTCTCTCTTCAAACAACTTTATATTTAAGCGTGAGCTACAAAGAAACATTGTGTAGACTCCGTAATAAAAACTGGAGATTACGCAACGGTACGCGCGCGTTCCGACATCATGCTCAATTTCGAGTTCTAAATAGATAATAAGTAACGTGGTAACAGGTTTCCGCTGGAGTTGGTGAAAACTTTCGCGGGGAAACTTTCCACTCACGGTGGTAAGTATTCATCTCGTAAAGGTGTTCCCCTTAATAAATCACACCGTAATGTTATTAGGCGGTGCGGCTTGTGGAAAATAATAAACTCGTAACTTATTACATCCGTTGTATTCGCTAGCGGAGGTAAGTTTCATCGAGTTTACTAAGTAACCACTTATCCTCGATGTCTCAGTGTAATCCTTCACTCTTGAGCACTTGATAAATCGGCACTTTATATTTCAATCAGCAATTTTATTGGTGCCAGCACCAGGATTTGTGCTCAGATCGCTCGAGTATATTGAATTAATCTGCTATGGTTGCCGGCTTTGCTGTTGTATGAATGGACAGGCTCTTTCAATTGGAATGTCATACTTCTGTGTTTCGTCTGGTGAGTGAGATAACCGAGCCTCGCTTTATTAAGAAGTGGCGATATATCTATAACTTCTCAGGTGTTGCAGACATGTAAAATCAGGTGGAACGCCAGTTGGTGTCACTTAAAAAAAATTAGAATACTGATATATGCGTCGAATTATCAAAATAAAAAAAATCGAGTATACGCGAAGTCTGCCAGTATGCGGTGGGGTCGCGTGATTGATTATGCCTTTATACCCTCTGTACCGTGATGGCTCATTGTCCGGGCGCTCGCTTTTAATTCAATATGCTAGAACAATCTAAGTTCGATCCCCAAAGCTGGCACCAGTGAAATTGTTAATTTTAGGTGCTGACTTATCACGTGCACAGCGGCGAAGGTAAACACGGTAAGGAATCCTTCCTATTTTCTAAATATTAACAGAAACATATTTTAAAGATACGT